ATGCATAACATATGGATGATGCTACCATTTATTACTCTATTTTGACATCTGAATTATCTTTTGGATATTACATTGAGATAAATCAAACAGTTTAAAAGTGGGACTCAAAATTGGAAAATTGAAGTCTAAGTGCTTCTATCTTAAGTAGATGACACCTTGAATAGTGAGTGCTCTAGCTTTGAACTATAACAAAGGCTCTTTAGTGAATGATTTAGACTAATACAATATGCAGGTCTTGGAAGTCAAGGCTAAGTATGAATTGTTATGTCTGTTGACTTTCATGAGAGCCCAATTCAGCATATATGCAGATTTTATACTGTAGTTCTCTCAGACAGAGTATAAAGTATATCCAAGCAACTGCCATTGAATAATTGTAGGTTTTCTTTGTAGAAAGACTTTCTTTTCAAGAATTTTTTTTGTAGGTCATTATTTTACCTCATTCCTTGGGGTGTGGCATTTTAAAAGAAACTATTTTTTCCTAATTTCCTTTTAATTTAAAAGAAAAATGGTTCTTGCCAAGAAAAATATTCGCTTATCTCCCACGTTAGGCAGGGCATATAAATGCTAGAACCACTGGCTTCAAAAGGGGCAGATTTGTTTTCTCTCCTATTTTGGATAAAGGAGGTAGAAAAGGCTGCCATTCATTAAGTTTTCATCATCCACTTCCTTCCGAAATCTCTGGTTTCACTGACAGTTAAAAACAGCAGTAGGACTGAATGATAAAGCCAACTCCTACACATCTGCTCCATTTCGTAAAACAGGGGAACTTGAAATGGAAACAGAAGGAGGCTCTTATGTTTAATCATTCCTGTCTGCCAATTTTGCTCCAACATGGACTTGTATGTGTCATTTAATTTTAAATACCTCACCACTTCCATAAGTACCCAAAATCCCAGAAACCAGTAACAAATCTTGTATCCGCTTATTTCTCTAGGTTGGACGAATTGAAGACTTCCTATACCAATTAGAAGACAGTTTCTTAAAAACTAAAAAAACTGAGAACTGCTCGAAGGCAAAAAACGAAAATGAAGCGACTTCAAACTGTGCAGCAGAGCTAGTCACTAGAGAGCAGGCATTACCACCAACTTCCCAGGGAAAGAAGCAAGCACTTCTACCTAGCCTGGCTGTCACCAAAGGAACGAGGTGGCACACCCTGTTGCTCATCTCTATCAAATACATTCTATACTTCATTAATCTCAACTGGCAGCAATAAATGTTCTCAGTGAGTTTGACTTGACTCTTGTTCAAATTTGTCTTGTTTAGTTAAAGAGCTGATATCCATTGCTACCTCTTTTACCTGCCTTGTTCTTTCAAAATTGACAAAGATATTCTGGGTCTACCCAAGTATGTTTATGGCATATCTATATCACTGAAATTCAGAGGAGTTACTCGTGTGGCACATGAAGACTTGAACTGACACTGTCATTGAAAGTAAATTTAAAATTAAAAGCTGATAATCCTTTCTCAATCCTTATAGAGATGGCCATATGGTATGGCTGCTATCAGTTGTCTCATTAAAATCTCTATTGCCTCTGGGCTTTTTATATTGTATTTACCTGTTCCTTAAGTGACACAACACGAATTCACATATTTGACAAGGCAGTGAATCCATAGCCATTATTTGATACCCCAACTGATGCCAACAAGGGAATTTGAAAATAGGAGAGTAAGAAGGACTCAGATACAGAGTAAAATAAAAATTTTAAAAATAGCAAAAAAACTAGAATCTCATAGTACATTAATGACAATATGAAAAGAAAAAAGGAACAAAATATTTAGTACTGCACTTTTCTTTATACAATGAGATTATAAAGGGATGAATTAATAATAGTCAATGTATAGTCATAACAATACAAGATATAAATATATTTACAAATTTTGAAATAAGACAATCAGGAGTTTGGCTTCTCTGGGGATAAGTTGCTTAATTCTTACTTTTATCTTTTGTACCCACCCAAATCAGAGAACCCACCTCTATTGCCAGCATTCTTGTTTGGGTCAGTTACTAATATAATCAGTTAAAGGCAGTTAATTTTAAGAAGCTCCTTTTTGCTTCTAAACTCAAATTGGCACAGCATCAGTTCTGTTCTTATAAACACTGGAAAGCTATTTCTTTGTATGAACACCAGAGTCGGGTTGAATGTAGGAGTCTCAGATAAATGGATCAGCCTTCTGTCTGACTGTTGCTGCTGTTACTACCTCAGACCATTGTCCAGGAATTTCCCGTCCTTAAAAAGAAAAGCTCAGTGACAAGAAAAGTGTTCTTTCTTTGCCATTTTCTTGAAGAGATGAGATTTTATTCTGTAACATTTCAGAGACATTAAATGCAAACCCTGAAAATGATATTGTGGCTAACCAGAAGTGATACGCACTTGATGATCAGGTCAATTTCAACATTATTAATTGTAAACTAGCCCATGCCCTAAATACCTTGATAATCCCATCCTCCTTTATCCATCCCTGTGTCCTTCCATCTGTTGCTGATGTCTCTGCATGGAAAGATGAGCTCTGCTGGGCTCGTCGCTGGGAGCAGCATGTCTTTCAAAATATCTAAGCAAATTCTTCCCAACCTGTCTACATTATGATGATCAATTCTGTCCATAAAATGTGTTCAGGAGACTGCCACTGTATAGTCTTCCTGAAGAAATACTTGATTCAAATGTCTCACTTCAGGGCTGGTGGCATGCCTGCCTGCCTAGCAAGCGTTAGGCCCTGAATTCAAATCCCGGTACCACCAAAAGAATCTCACCTCACTATGATAAACTGTTGAATATTAGGGAATATTAGAGAATGAGTAAGTAACATGATGGGGGGGGTAACTTGATAAAAGCACAATATATACAGGTAAAACCCCCTTGGACTATCAATATTCACTTTAAAAAAATGAAGATTAGCAAGTGTGAGGCCCTGAGTTCAAACCCAAGTACTGCCAAAAAAGAAAAAAAAAAATGAAGGTCAGGAGGGTAAATTAAATTGCTTTTCCAGAGATGGGTACCAGTGGGAGGGGAGTCGTCATAATGAAAGGGTGAATGAGTATGAAAATGGTGGATGTATTTTATATTCATATATGAAAATAGAAGAATGAAACCTGTTGAAATTGTTCTGAGAAAGAGGAAGAGGGAGAATGATGGAGGGGGTAAATATAAGATGTAAATATATACATAAATATCACAATGTAGCCCCTGTAAAACTGTTGTATGCTAATATATTTTTACAACTCACCTCCAAAGGACAAATCCCAAAGGAGGGCCCCCCATGACCACATGAAAATGATAATATGTTCTGTTCCACATCCACCCTAATATCAGGCATTTGATCATATTTATCAGTCCTTGATCATTCTTCAAGACATTTTGGTATTGTCTTGTCTGCTTCTTTTTCTCAGGTTGTTATTTTCAAATTTTTGAAAACTTTGTAATTACTGTTTTGTCACCTTTTACCTAGCTCTCTCTACCTCTGTGTGTGTATGTGTCTTTGTCTCTCTTCCACTCCCTCTTTCCTCGCTTCCCCTCTTCCTACCCCCCACAAAATTCATTACTATAGGGGATAAGGGAGAGTAATGGAAGGGGTTGAATGGACCAAAGTAAAGTATATCCACAGTGGGGACACACTGAGAAACCCCTTTGAACATCAACTTAAATATTAGTAACAAAAGACAGAACTGTAAAATAGGTACAGTTGGAGGGGGAAGAGTGGGAGGGGGAGGGGGAATAAAGGAGATTAGGTGAAGGTATATGGTTAGTGGACTTCATGTACCTATATGAAATAGAACAAAGAAACCTCTTGCAATTGCTTTTTTTTTTCTTTTATTCATATGTGCATACAATGTTTGGGTCATTTCTCCCCCTCTTCCCCCG